CAAAACCCGCTGTTGGAGTATTATGGAAGGGCTGTGTAGCACCGTGATCAGAATATCGACAAGAATAACAGATTAAATCAGTGCTCTGAAATATATGATTGACGAGCTTTCGGTAACTGAGTACCTTCGTGGAGTATGGCAAGTTTCGGGTAGTTAGAGTTAACAAATATTTTACTGTGTGATATGCTCTCCAAACACCATGCATGTATAAAATTACAGGCACCTGTTATTCCCTTATTCTTAATCCCTTTATACTGCGGTTTACACGGGACCATCCCACGCATTTGTAATCCAGCTCAAAGTGAAAAAAATTCTCAACACCGTATGACATTAAGACATGGAGGATGTTTTTGAGGGTGAACACGAACATGCTTCTGGCAGTTGCCAAAAGAACGCCCAAAGAACAAAATGTGGAATTGTTAAAATTTTTTGACATGCATTTTGTAACGGTTTAACCCTAAACTGTGTTCTGTATGTTGCGACGTTAAAGAGATGTATCTTTATGTTTCTTTGTGAGATGAAGGGCTTTATGTACATGTTAAGCTGGAGAGCGTAACAGAAGACCTGACATTTACATGTCAGTCCCCGCAGACAATTTCGCAAACTGCAATTTTTAAGAATTTCCCTCCTAATCTAAGCAAAAACTAAAAGACCTCAGATGTGAAGAGTTTATATTCTGTTGGTCACTCTAGTTGAGAAGGAAGTCGTGGAACATCTGAATGAGTTGAGGTGGACGTGACTTTAACTTTGTGTTTCCTCCCCCAGAATCTGGCCCTGAGGGAACAGAACTCCATCCGAAACCAAAATGGCGAGGTGCAGTCCCTCAGCTCAGTCAACCACGAAGATGTGGCCAGCACCAACAGGAGAAATTCAAAGGTGGGGAGGGCTGGAAGTCTGTCGGTCTGTTCGTCTGTCAGTCTGTCTATTTGTGCTGTCTTGGTCTTCTTACTGGTGGATTGCCTCAACAGATTAAGCCAGTTCTGGTGCCCACATGCCACCGTGATGGCTAGAGGATATGCTTTGCTGACCACAGCTGCATGGTATTCAAGGAAAAATTGTCAACAGAACTTTTATTGGGATTAGGGAATGCAAGGATTGAAGATATTGGGGATGAAACTGTGTGGAGATGTACAAGGTTATTGATTTTCAAATCTGTAAGCCCCCCTCTCCAATACTACTGTTTATTTGTATTTATCCAGGGTAGTCCTATCAAATAACCAGCAACCTGCTCTTTCTAGAGGGTCTTGGTAAAAAGATACTGAAGTGTCAAGTTTTGTGCAGGTGTGCAACTTTTCCTCGGATCAGCTGATTTCCTTGTTTTGGACTTCACTCTCGTGCCATTGAGAATTGAAAAACACTGTACGAAGTCTCGTAAAGGTGGGAATTTCCTCGTTTTTTGTCCAAGACCAAGTTGCATGCGTGTTTACGGGTTGGTAGGAAAACTCCAGATAAAGATTCCAGGGAAAATCCAGGGAACCATGCTGGATCTGAAAACCCGATCTCGGTGTGCCAGCCTGGGTTAGATTTGAACCTGGGTCACAGATGTGGAAGGTAAAGATAGTAACCACTGGACCTCCCCCTCCTTGAAAAACTTTGCAGAGGCTGTCCAATGGTTCCATCGACCCAGACGATGATGCGTCGCGGGTGCTGGAGCTGCAGGACACCTTGGAGCGGCAGAACCAGGAACTGAGTCAATCCAAGGATCGGGCCTCAGAGCTGATGCTGCGGGTGGCCAGCCTGGAGGAGTCACTGGCCAAGACCCAGAAAGAGGTGCTGCGAGCGCAGGAGTCGGCCTCCAAGTTCCAGCGTGACGCCCGGGAGGTACGTACGCCCATGCTTCACCACCAGATTGGAATTGAAGGAAATGACATCTTTGACAATCGTCAGCGTTTCCTGGGTCATTGTCACTCATTTGTCATTGCCGATGCCATTTTGTCCAGGCTATGTGCCAAAAGGAGGATATGGAGGAGCGGATAGCCACGCTGGAGAAGCGCTACCTGAACTCCCAGCGGGAAACTACCTCACTACACGATCTCAACGACAAACTGGAGTCGGAGCTGGCCAATAAAGAGACACTGCTCAGACAGGTGAGGTGTAGGGGCTGGACTGGAAATCAGAAGTGAAAGGAACCTTTAATCGTAGCTACACCCAGCGGCAGACACGTGAAAAACTTGCCAAATTTGGTATGAATTTCTGTTTAACTCGTGCCCTGGGTGGAAGGGTAACATCTATGCCCGTCAGTACGAGAGTTAAGTCGGATATTTCTCTGAAACATCATCTACTGTCCTCATTTCTGGTACATTCTCAGTGAAGCAGTTGCCTGAACATTAGCCCAAGAAGTACCAATTCTTCCAGGTTTAATACAAATTTCTACATGCCCTAGGCGTAGGGGTCAAGATCACATAATCACATATAAGTGCCGGTACATGTTCATTTAGGGAGGGAAACTTTGGGTAAGTTAATTGGCTCAGACAGGCCGTGTTTAAGGCTGGCCCTGCTTATAATGCAGTTGAAGCAAACCAGTTGTAGGCAGCAGGGGTGTTTTTTTGGTCACAATTTTTGTTCCCTCCACAGACGGAGGACAAAATGCGGCACTACCAGGAGAAGCTGGAGCTGTCGGAGCAGAAGCTGTCGCAGACACTACGGAAAGCTGAGGAACTACCCAACGTGGAGGCAGAGCTGGCGGAGAGAATGGCGGCCCTGTCTCAGGTATCAGAGAGTTCCTAGGGCCGTTAGAAAGTCTGAGAAAAAGCTGCAGACCAGGCTGCAGAAGACTACTCTGAAGATTGGGAAGTGGTCTTGTAAATTCTTGAAACATACCCATGTGTGGTCGCACCGTGGTCAAAATACAGTTTTGCAACCGTATTTTGTAAACTTATGGTCAAGCATTAGGCCGTTTTCCAATACCCAACTTCGGCTCCGTCTTAGGCTTCAACTGTTTTTACTAGCTGACTTTGAAGCTGTAAGCCCAGTAATCAGTCTAATAGTGCCACAGAACATCAAATAAGATGCAAGAAAGCCAAAAAATTACAGTAATCCAATGTAATTCAAACGCTTCAGGCCCACAATCGGGGATTGGTTTTTGGGAACAAAGCCTGAGACGGAGACGAAGTTGAGTATTGGAAAATGACCTTAGTAACAAGCTGAGCAAGGAGGTGGTTGACAGAGCAAGTGTTGCAGATCAGAGGTGCCTATTTCAACAGCCTGTTACGCTCCTTTGTGTATTAAATTAGCACATGGAGATATGAACTGTATACAGAATGAAGGCTGCAGAAAGAGGTACAGCATATTGCAGCAATTTGTGATGTTGGTTGTGTATTCTTATATTGATCTAAAAAACATGGTGTAGAGAGTAAAGGTTGTGGATCGGAGCTGCATGGAATTGTTGGTGTGTGTTGCTCACGCATCCTTTGTAGAACTTCAGAATACAGAATGAAATCCACAGATGCAGTTCATTGTACACGTTTCCTTGTGTAAGTGAATACATAAGAACTCGGAGACCAGTGCACAGATCACTGGTGCCCCGTTCGACAGCTTGTGATACACTTTTGGCTGTGCATTATTCACACTTTGAGCAGGCGGAAGAGAGACAAGGCAGCGCCGAGGAGAAACTCCGACAACTACGAAGCGAGTTGGAGGAATGCAAACAAGAATTGGAGAGGGTGAGAAGAGACTTGATTTGTTCCTCTCTTTCAGCCAAAGTTGTCAGAAAGAAATCTTGAAATATTCTCACAAAACTTCAGGCGTTGGCTGTTCAATTTTACTTTGTATTACGTAAGAATCAGTTTTATTTATGCGGATTCTGTATATGAATGAATGATATTTTCATTTGTTGCCATAAGTGACATATATGTAGCTTGATTTGACCCTAGCTTCCTTGAACGTTGGGTGGCTGTAAAGATATCGAGTCCCTGCCAATTTTTTTCCCAATACATCCAAAACTAATAATTTATCACGGCCATGCTAATAATAGCTTACCATGTTTACTGACCGCACAAATACTTTTATTTATTTTTGTCCACCCAGAAATTTCTTTTAAAAATTGAATGAAAGTGCACACAGCCATTCCACATACTGGCAGTTTGTTTATACACTCGTCTCATAAGTCTTCTCCTCCCCCGACACTCGATGTAAACCAAATCGTAAGATTGATGAAACAGAAACAAATATTTTGCATCCATCCATTTCATTTTACGACATCAATCATCTGTGGTTTTTTTTCTCCCTCTTGCCCCCCTCCCCCGGAAGGCGAGGGAAAGAGAACGGATGAACGAGGAGCACAACAAACGTCTTTCCAGTACTGTGGATAAATTATTATCGGAGTCCAATGAGCGACTGCAGCTGCACCTCAAGGAGAGGATGGCAGCACTAGACGACAAGGTCAGACCTGTTTCCGGAACTTTTTCCCCTGAAGCTTGGTAGGATTTGTTTGTTTCAGTTTAGTCAGCGAATCCTTTATTTCATAGAAAAATACAGGCAGTCTTTGGTGTGTGGGTTTTGTTTGAAAATTGAAACTAAACTGATCTGAATCTGTAGTAGCTAAGGTGCCGTGAAATTTTAATGACCGGCTCATTATTGGTGGGGGGAAAAATCGAAGTCTTGGACAGAGTTTCCTCTTGGATTGAACTATCCGCCCGTCTGTTCAGAGCCAACATTAAACAAATGTCTGTCCTCCCCAACGGACATTGTTTAGTGGTACCGCTTGGTGTTATCTGAGGCCAAACGTGGCCCACCATCCCAAAACCAGGCTGAAGTCGGTATTTTTTGTGACGTTGGACAATTCCTCTCCTTCAGCTTTGTTTTTACACTTCAAAGTGATCCACGTTAAATCAAACTTTTGTCTGCAGTAAGCTTTCGTACGGGTAGTGATAGCTGTAAAACTCCCATGAAAATCTGAAGAGGGGAAGTTCCACTATTTTAGGGTGATGAAGTTACCTACTTCAGCCTGGTCTTGGGATGGTGGGTCACATGTTTCCACAGCACCCAGTGTTTTGGAGAGGAAGGTCAAGACAATGCTCTTTAGTGTTAAAGATTTCTGTATATGTGTTGAACAAGAATGGGCTCATTGGACAAGCAAAACCAGCCTGTCCAAATTTGCTTTTTGCCTGTCCATTGGACTGATGGACAGGAGGCAAAATAAGACACTGGTCTTGGAATCTTTGGAAAAAAATTATGATTTGTGAAATGCTAAGTAAATACGGTGTAACCAGTATCACTGCCCACGTTTTGGGGGAGGTGGGGTTTCTGATGGGTTTAATAGGGGATAGTAGTTGGAACTTGTTATTTCTGGGTGCAAAATTTTACAGGTGTTGTTAATGTTTTAGATCTTTTTCAGCCTGGCTCATCGCAAATTGTGGATCTACAGTAAATGTAAATTTATATACAATTATATGGACTCTTTAGCTGGTCAGTGAGAGATTTATTAAGGCTTGTTAAAGTGGGAAGACAGTAACTTTGGTAGTATGCCTTTAAAGGTTCTTAGCTGTGGAGAAATTATAATTTTTTTTGAGTGTGGGTGAATAATGAAGCACATTTCTTTCAAGTGCATACATTAAGAGTAAAATGCCAACATAACGTTATCGACTTTTGTTGAAGGCTACGGTGAGAATTTGAAAAGCACTCAAGCTTGTTTGGTGTCAAGTTTCGCATGTTGGAGCACATCTTGGCTTGCGAGCAATTAGCTGAAGTACTGGCGTATGAAGTGCTTTGTGTTCTTAGCGAAGTATCATTGCTCCAGGCATTTTGACATTTGGGTATCCTTTCAGACATTTTTTTAGATCATTCTGCAATTTCTTCATCGATCCTGTGTGTTAAAATTTGCTTTTGCAGCGGCAGGAAAAACACTGCTGGAGTGAAGAGGGAAAATGACATATTTGCAAAATTAGTGAGACACTAAGAGATGGCCAGTTCTGTAATCTTTGCCTCAGCTTTCTGGCAGCTGCTTCAGATTTTGAAGCCAATGGCTTTGTGAGGCTATGGCTCTGTCTGGTTCCCTGTGTACTTCTCGTACACTGAAGCCTGATAGTTTGAAGCTGTAGCCAGAGCCCTTTCATTTTATTCCATACAGTCAGATTCACACTGACAGAAGAGGCCACTACCTAGGTTCATGACATTTTGTGAAACAAAGGGTTTTATCCAGTAGAAAGCATTCTTTAATATCCCAGGGCAAGTTTTTTATGTGAGCTCTTGGGAAATCTTGCAGAGGAACAGATTTTTTGCAGATACCCATGCAATCCAATCTCAAGTAATCAAATGAAATCTCTAGCGTTTCATCAGCGCAGAGGTCAGTATGGTAGTAAGCTGACTTTTTTCCCCCAATTCACAATAAAAACTCTTCTTCACATAGTCACAGCACACACACTGGGGAACTATTTTGTAAGCTTCTTGGCATTCCCACTGCTACTAGTGGGATTTCAATGAAGACGAAGCTTTTTTTATTAACGGGTTAATTTTGGGGGGCTGTTGCAAATGGCCTTATAGGAATAATATTTGGTTTGCAGATACATGCATACACTGAATTGGAAAAACAAGTCCGGTTCCTTTGTGCCGTTTTAAGTTCCATTTTTTTATATTTTACAAACAGAAAAGGTATAGATAAGATATAGAAATGGTACATGTACATGTACTTGAAAGTCTGTGTTGTACACTGTATGTGATATCAAGCAGCTTGCCTATTGAAAACACATGTCTCACTTTTCAGAATGCTCTGACGCATGAACTTGAGAAAGTCAAGAAGTTCATGGACGAAATGCAGCTGGAGAGCAAGAGAAACCGGGACGAGCTAGAGAGATATAAGGTGGAGCTCAAAATAACTAAGGAGAGGTTGGCACAGCAAGGAGCTCAGGGTAGCACAAGCAGTATTAGGTGGGTAGAACCGGACGGAACCAGTTGAACCGGCTTGAACCAGTGTGAACTTGGTGGAACAAGTTGGGGCTTTTGCTGAATAGGAGTTTCGTTGTACATGGTTTATGGAGTGAGAGATGTTGGAATGAAGTGGAAGTACATGTATACAAAGTACTGGTGACCGTGACAAAGGATGGCACAGGTGGCCAGAACTGGACAGGACCGGTGTGAAGCTGGTTTGTTTGTTTTTTTTTTCTTATAAGACAGGGTGTATGGAGTGATAGAAGTTGGAATAAAGCAAAACTATGAACATGATGAAGTAGAAGTGATGATGCAAGGCAGAGATAGTTTTATACCAAGAAGCTCAAGATAACATATACACTATTAGGTGGATAGAACTGGATAGAACCAGTACGAACCAGTCAGAACTGGGTAGATTTCTTCTTGTAAGACACAGGTTAGTTTAGAAAGGCTCTGATGGAACCTGAAATATAGAACAGAGGTGACAATTAAAAAAGGGAGAGTAGAAATTGTATTCAGGAAAAGTGAAAGATGGGTGAATTTATGCCCTGAAAGTATCCTTGTTTCTTTGAAAGTAAATATTTTTCTCAATCATCATCCGCCGCAGTGAAATGGGCCCCAGCCAAGGGGTCCCAGACGTCGTCATTGCCAATGCCACGCAGTCCTCCGGCTCGCTAGAAGACGAGGAATACGACATGGCGGGAGTGGTCCGACGGCAACAACCTGGCCGATTGCAGGCCCTCAAGTCAGACCCGACAAAGGTAATGTGTCTGGGTCTCTGGGAGGGTGTTTGCCAAAGTGCGCATCACAGGGGTTGAAGGTTGCTTATGGACCTTCAGATGTTGCCAGCATTTGACAGATTGGGGTGTGCGTGAAGACCATGTTACATGACTAATATAGCCTGCAGAAGTATTTTGTCATAAATGTTACACGAAATGAAATGTACCAATTTTAACCAGTAGAGGGCAGCAGACTGATGTTTTCTGAGGTTTTTGTTCCAGTTAAAGCAGGCCCGATCGCGTTAAAATGGTTTTTCCTTTTGACAAGGTGGAATGCTTTTTGTCAAATTATCTTTCGTTTGTTTTTAATTTGAAAACATCTGAATTATCCTACCACCCCTATTTTTTGAAAATGGACTTTTCTACTTCTCTGACACTGAATGCTTCTAAACTATTGTGTGCAGCTGTTCCATTACTTTGTAGTGACTATTTCTCTACACTATTTTTTTTCTCTTTCCGCATCCTACATTGTACCACCTACCACTTTTCATGGCCCTCCTGTCTGTATTACAACCCACCCCCAAAGTGCTACCCCCTTAAGGTCTTTCCTGTGGAATCACCCAAGGTAATTGACAGATGCATGCAACATGGTTTTGGTTCGATTTACTTTAAAGAGTAGGGTAGATTCACCAGCTCCCATTCTTTTTAGCCCATTTAATTCCTTTAAATGTACTGCTTACACTTTTCATCACATCTTCAATTGTAAACTGTCAGCTTAGTTTGCATGCAGTGCTAAAAGGTGGAGAATTCTATGACAGAGGTGTTTTTGTATAGCAACAAAGATTGAAAACTATGTACTTAACCACTTCCTGCTGGGGCAGTTATCAATGTTGATGATGCTGGTCCGGAATATTTATCATTTTTTCCCTGTTTTTGCAGCCTTGTAAAAAGAGCACAGATTGTGCGTTGTTATGTAACTTTCTGTTGTTAACGAATCTGGCTCAGTGTGCTGCTGACCTCTTTTCAGTAGGGGCCAGATTAGCATGCAGCAGTGCTGTGTGGCTCATCGCTGCGGTGGTGGAGCGCTTTTGTCTCCGGTGGTAATCCGCTCACTCTTAATGCCCCAAACCGGGGCACTGTTACTATACTGTTTCAAAACAAGGTTGGATTATCTCCACTTTTGAGAGTGAAAGAATGTTGGTAATTCCCAGCAGCCTGGTCTTTTCTTCCGATTACAGTCTTTTGTTACAAGGCCCTGTTCCTTCTGTCCGAATTCGGAGATCCCGGCCACGCATATAAAGCATACTTGTCCGGATCTGGAATCCCCGGCAGGGAGTGGTTAATATTACAGACATCATCGAATGTTTGAACATTAAAAAATAGATGCAGTCCAGCTTTATAGTAGCTCTGTAACGAGGATGCATTTCATCTCAGCTGAAATTCATCCAGGAAAGTCTCCCTAGTTGACTGTAGTCCCATTTTAAAATGAGCTCGTAAAGTTTGGCACAGGCAGTGCCATTTATAGCCTACAACTTGAAGTTACAGAAATAAAAACGACAAGAAATCGAGCCAGCTTGTTAGTTTGGATTTGTAACCGGCGTACGTAACGTGCAGTTCACTTGATGTAACATGTTGGCATACATGTGGTGTCGGTCTTGGCCAGAGGATGCAATTTAGCAGTGTTCTTCTATGCAAGCCATGTTTACCTGCAGATGTCCTACGCTGCAAAATGCTTTTAGATCCCTTATCCCCTAAAATCTTGTTACTTCCCCCATCCCCCCATTCTCATATCTTTCCTCTTTCAGTCTGTTTAAAGCTGTACTCTTGAGAGTAGAAATTCAGCTGACTACACTGTACATCTATCGAATGGTGGCATTTTGGTCAATACTGTAGCTTGATGTATTCACACATGTCTATTGAACTTGGTACACAAGTGGTGGACTTGAAGAGACTGAACACAGCAGGTGATTGAAAACAAATCTTGCATAGCAAACCGTGAACGGAACTTCAAACAGCCGTGAACAGCGAAGAGCAGCAGAACCTGAATAGTAAATTTGGTTGTGACCTGAAGATCAGAACTTGGCAGAACTCATGACTTTCCCTTAGACGCTTTGAATATTTCCAGCCATAGCAAAGCACCTGCAATTTGGGTGTGGCCTCCTCACTGGTTCCCAGAAGCTAGGGTTAAAGGTCAGACCTTGTTTGCAAAAGGTGTAAGGTGTTGATGACCAGTCCCACCCTTTATTTGCACAAAATCTCATTGTAGATTTTGTGGCGTTCACGTGTATGCATTTGATAGTGACAACTGTGAAGTTCCGAATGTACATGTATGGCCATGTCAGGAACTCACATTTAGGGCTAAGGATAGGTCTTAGCCAGTGGCAGATACCGTATGTAGCCACATGCTGACATTAGTCGTAGCTGTAGCCCTGAAAGCCCGAATTTAAAACATTGCCTACCTGTGACCCCTAGAAAGGCACAAATGGACAGGGAGCCCACTGTCTTGTCCAGTGCGATGACAGAGTGTCAGCAACTGGTTATTGAGTCTTTTGTTTTGCTTTGTTTTTGTGGACAGGTTAACACTCTAAATGAGCAGGAGTGGGAGAAGGCAGAGCAGGCAAGCGTCCTGGCCAACATCGCCCAGGCCTTCGAGAGCGACGAGGGGGCGGGCCACTCCGAGGATGAGTCCGAGTCCATCTTTGGGGCAGTGGACATGCTGTCACCGCAAGGCCACACTGATGCCCAGACTCTAGCCGCCATGCTGCAAGAGCAGCTGGACGCTATCAACAATGAAATCAGGTGCATATAACGTTAATTGACCGGGTGATATAATGGAGTGTCTGGATCTAGTGGTTGGTAAATTTTTATTGATCATTTTATATGAAATGCATGGATAGAATGAGCAATAATGGGACCATGTGATATAATAGTGTGTTTGGACCAAAGAGAGTGTAATATACTTCTGTTGACCTCGTTATATAACGTGGTGAACAGAGATACCGGTATGGTGCCTTGCGGAGACCCAGGAGAATGGGTTGAATAATGTAGGTCTTCACAAGGATAGTTCTCCGCAAGGATTGCACGGAACTGATATTTGGAAATCGCTGAAAAACAAGAAATTTTAGTGTGTAAAAAGCTGTTGCAAATTGAAGTGTTTTATAAAAGGGACATACAGTAGAAACATCAGCCCAGCGTGGTGATTCATGTTCAAGTGGGGGGTTAGAACACGAGCACGACGCCGTGTCTCCACAAGGATATAAATTCCGGCGGGTGTGTTTTGTACAAGGTTTCCTTGACTATTCCTCCTCCTTTTACAACACATGGCCCCTACCCCAAAATGCCTCTAAACTTCTTTTTTCAGAGAAGGGGAAACGTCCTGTGGACATGTGCAGGTCCACAGAACGTCTTCCTTTCCTGCATCGTGTGGATATCTTTTGTTCACAAGTCCTCAATAGGTATGTAAGGTTAGCACAGTGTGTTGCCCTCACTGAAAAACAGCTTCAGAGGCATTTTGAGGTCCGGATTACGTAGAGGAACAGTTTAATCATCAAAAAATGCAGCTTGAAAGATTGACCAAAGTTGAAAAAAGGAAGTTTTTCTCAACTGATGGAAAATAAAGGAATGTCAACACTACATGTGAAACAAATATGTATGTTGGCTGGTATTATAATGGAGTGCTTGGACTGTATGGTTGTTCGGTCCGTTATATCTGGTATTAATCTTCATGTGTATGTTGACCGTGTGATATAATGGAATGGCTGGACCTAATGGTTGGAAATGTCTGTTGACCATGTGATGCAATGGTGTGCGTGGACCGACCGGTAGTGGTTGTTTGGTCTATGATATAGTTTGTGTATATTGACCATATTATGGTGTGTCTGCACCTGATAGTTTGAGCATTGTCATTGTTAGAATCCTTGTACTGAATGTGGATTTCTCTCCATCTCCCAATCTCGCCCTTCTCAGGCTGATCCAAGAGGAGAAGTTCTCCACCGAGCAGCGGGCAGAGGAGATTGAGCACCGCGTGGGCACAGGCAGCGTGGACAACTTTGACCTCTTCCAGTCTAGCACGGGCCGGAGCCGGTACTACTGGAGCGCCGAGCCCCGCAACCTGACCCGTTCTCTGCCTGGCAGCATGGTCATGCACACAACAACTGAGCACGAGAGGGTGTCGCCGCCGGGCAGCGAGGACTCCACGCCTCGCATCGAGAGGCGGGGCAACGCATCAGTGGACGCCCTTGGGAGCCAGTACAGCTACAGTCAACCGCAGATTCCCTCCCTAGCGGGACTGGACGGGCCCATCGAGGAGGGAGAGGGCAGTGGTGCGACGGCTCAGGTATGATAAAAACTTGACTTTTCTCGGCCGAAGCAGGAAAAGATTTGACACAAGCTACTTAAGTTTCTCAGCTGACTTGATCTGCCATCCAAAGCCACAACCGACTTGAATCATCTTGAGCTGAAAAAAACTTTGAAAAGGGGCTTAGAATTGAACCCAACTAATATGCAATCCTGATTGCAGTTCAAGTGCTCCACCTGCTGAGCTAATCAATGCCTAAATGCTTATTTGGATTTTTGTTTTGCTGACTTCAAAGAGCACTAGACAGAGATACTTTATTTTATATTCAGAGTGAAATCACACACTGCATTTTGCCTCCTCCCCAGCTAGTGAGAAAAATATTCGGTTGCCTGTGTGGAAATCTCCAGATGTCTGGAAGTTGTAGGGTCTGTTGTTTTCCAAACCAGAACTAAATTCTGCCAGTAGTTTCTAGGTGATGAAACTTTTAGCCACTGTAGTGGCAGTGTTCAGCACAAGGCACAATTTGCCACCTCCACCAATGTTTTTATACATTTCAACTTTTTTTCTTGTGCCGTTGTAGAACCTTAGCTGTGGGTAGAATTTTTGGCTGTTGTCGCTAATTTGTATATTTGTCCGTGTTTTTCCTCTCCCCATTATTTCCTCCCCTCCCACTTTCTCCTTTTTTGCCCAACGCCCCTTGAACTCCTTTTCCCTGATTTTTTGACGTGGTACTCGTGCTTTGTAGCGCAAAGGCGTATACAGTCGCTCAATGTCGCTGTCCGAGTCCCAGCTACACTATTGGCAAAGAGGCAGAAAGGTTTGGGAACCCCACGTTTCTTGCTATCGCACGTTGTTTGCTGAATGACGGAATGATTGAGAAACCGGAAACCGCTGAAAAAAGTTGGAGAAAATAAGAAACATTGCCTGCTGCACGGGGTGTCTTAAAGTATTCGTCATCGTTGGCAGTCCAAACTGTGTTAAACGTGCTGAAGAAGAAATGTTGTTCGAAGCGTGCTGGTTTTTTTTGTTTGACTTTGAGCTGCAGAATGTGTGGTTTGGCTGGTTTGTCGGTTTGCAGAGCCTGCCTGGGATAGTTTATGCACCCTTTCGACCATAAATTGGTCTTTTGCCGTTTTTCATTGGAGTTGATTGCAGTCTGCATGCATTTCACAATTCACATATTTGTTTGTTGTGCCCATACTGCATGCTAACGTAGCGGTATATGTGATCTATCAAAGTACGGACATTGTCAGGTGCTTTATACCTGAGCCACTGTGGCTTGATTTGCCGAGAGAAAGAGAAAACGAAACGAACGTATTTAAATTTTTTATTGTAATGTTTAACTTACCATCTTTGGTGTGTTTATACTGAATTGATACAGATTTTGACTTTACCTGTATGTCAAAGGTCATGTATCACATTATACGCCAGATTGAAGTGATTTGTGGTGTACTGCAATGAGAGCGTATCACACTGTTACATCAGATCATCGCTAAGGCATTTCTGTGCGAAAATTTCATCCACGTAGATGTTTCTATGTCAAAGGGCCTTTAAAGTATAGTAATGGCTGTATGTGTGAAAGGGTGCCAGTTTAAGAGAGAGGTTTTGTATTAAGTTACGTGATGGTGGAGAAGAATCATTGGACCGTCTAAAGTGAGCCTACTTGTGGTCTCTTAGAGTGAAATTTCAATCTTCCTGTTCTCTGACTGGTTGGTTTGGTTGTTTGCTGCACGTTCACTTTAGTTTTTGTTCACAAAATTGACTGATGAGCACGTTGAAATGAGGTGGTAGGGTTTGTGACAAGCCGAGACGCTTGCTGTGTGTTGTTAACGTGTACGTATTTCAGGCACACATACCCTCTGTCACTCTCTAACTTTCTGTCAAATCATCGTAAGCATTCACAAGCTGCATCCTGTGTGCCTCTGCTTTGTTGCAAAGTGGATGTTGCAAGTTTTTTGTCCAGTTTTCTGTAAACCCATCCATACCTCTGTCACCAAAAGAAACCCCATATTCTTCTGATCTGCTTCCCCATCATCAATTCTCTATCTGATAGGCTTCATACAGTGGGTGTTGACAGTGCTTTGTGGACAAATTTGGAGAGCCAGCAAAATCACTGGGGTTGTTTTTTTTTTACACCCATCTTTATGTTGCTTTCAGCTGCAGGCTTCAGTCTCATGAATTCTAACGAAGAGTTCTGAGACGAGACCTGCTAGGCCAATGTAGCTCTATCTCTGCAGCAGAGCCATCAAATTTTTTTGAACATGGGGCCAAACTTTGAAAAGTATTTGGGTTATTCTGTGAGGTTGGGGCTTAATTTGTGACGGTGTCCTTGTTACATCGGTAACTTTTTGCCACTTTTCATGACCTGTAGAGTAGGTCATTTACTCCGTAAAAATAACACACACCTCTGTATTCAGCCTTGCAAGATGTATAACAATGTCAATTTGGAATCCACGTGCAGGGAATTAGCTGTTCATTTTTACGGAACCCATGTAACAATGGACACCGTCACAAATTGTGCCCCAACCTCATGGAATAACCCATTTATCAGTCAATGTTTCAAGCAGATTATTGAGATGAAGCAGAGGTAAGGGAAAAGGCCACAGACTTATAGAGCCTTTCTCCAAATCTGAGCTTTTTCCTCTACCTCTGGCTCAACCTACATGAGCCCCAAGCTACCGTAGACCAAGAAAAGGGCACAGTTTTTCTAGTGAGGAGGCTCCCTTGGTGGGAACTGCATTTCACTGTTTCACAAATGACTGAAATGCATACATTGCGGTAGCGTCACTCACTACCAACAAAATGAACACTCCCCACCAAGATGGCTCTTTTTGACTAATGACGGGGTGCAAGGAAGATACAAACCGATACCTCTGTGGCATTAGACTTAACTGTACTGAATTGAAAGGCGTCCACTCGGGAGTAACCAACCCTTGCAGCTGTAGGCACTTATGAAGCCACAATTTTGGAAATTCCACATTTCTTAACATATCAAATCTGTCATGGTTTCTTCTTCCAATCTAATCACTCTCTTCTTTCCATTTCTTCTGCATTTGGGATGTAACGTTTGTGTTTTTTATCACAGCGCATACTTAATATCAAATATTTTGTAAAAAATTAAAATCTCAAAATATGTCTGCAATAGGCCTAATACAAATAACAGAAGGTTTCCTCATCAAGTACACTTTCAAGTACAGGAAGATCCTTATCTATGAAAGTTTAATGATGCTATATTTTGGATGGTACACAAAATACATTTCTTAAAATGTAGTATTTATGGTTTGAATTTTGCCTGCAAAATTTTGTCATAAAGCATGGACAAGATACTCTAGATTTATTTTTCATTTAGCCTGATTACCCGTCTTCTCTTTCAAACATCTGTTACATCATGCCTTTCATTCCATACTAACAAATAGTTGCATGGTTTTGATCTTTACGTGTGTGATATTGAATGCATGAAAAATGCTGCACTATCTAAACAGTTTGTTTGAAATGAAGATGGTATAAATGCTTTATAGTTTCAGGGTAATTTGTAAGTTGAAACAAAACTTTACATTGGAACAGAATTTTCTGCCATACCGGGGAGATTTTTGCAAAATCTTCACCCATGCATATCTGTGTATCTATCCCAATGTCTAAATTTTTGGTGCCTAAATCTAATCTGGATCTCAACCAGCTTTCTGTTGAAAAAGCCCAATGTACTTTTCTATGAAAATTAGATTATTATCATGTCCTCGCTGAAAGAAGTTAAGGCATTAAAAAGCAGATTGCAGAGAAAGAAATTTTCTGAGGAATTTAACGCAAGAGCTTGGGTAACAATTTTCAGAATGCTACATCACAAAATATTTCCTGACGTTTTGTTTCTGGATCTCGCAGCCTCTAAGGGGAACCGAGGAGGTAACAGAGGAGGAAAAGTCCCAGCAACCCAGGACCACCCCACTATCACCACGATCTCAGCAGCTAGAGAGGATCGCTGCTGCCATCACGGCCCAGGGCAATGAACAGGAGCAGAGAAGGTACAGAAGCACCAATTTCACAAGCACAGAAAAAAAATTTGCTCAGCAGAAGTAGGGTACCAGCCAAAAAGTGTACAGTTTTGTGCATTACTTGCGACTGGCTCAATGCAAATTTGTGCACAGCGTTTAAAGTTTGCTAAGCAAAGATTTCTGTTTAGGAGCTCTATGTAGTTTTCCTTCAAGAAAGATTCTGCTATTAAAGATCAAAATGTCGGATTCTTTAATTTTTTTTTCCTGGAGATTTATTTGAAGTCGCAGTAGCTGGCAAATTGTTTGCAGCAGTTTTGACATTTTAAAATCTATTTCAGGGGATCCCTCGACAGTTCCCATAGCACCCCAAGCCCCCAGTCCAGCAACAACAGCAGCCAGGATTCGCTGCACAAGCAGCAGGCCAAACGGCCGGGGCTGAAGGGCTCACTAGGTAGGTTATTTGGTGGCAAGAGAGGCGACAAGGCCAGCCCGCTGCGCAGGGGAAAGGAAGGCAATTACAGCGAGAGCGAGAAAGGTAAACAAACAAACAAACAAACAAACAAACAAACCTGCAAACTAAAACTAAACAAAAACTTCACCATTTTGTTTTGACACCAATGTCAAATAAGTCCATACTGAAAAAAAAATCATTTCTTATTAATTCCTGCTGCATTGGTTTTAGTAAAAATTCAACTTGAAGGGATTTTATGCTGTTGCCGAAGTTTCATTTTGCAAACTGCAAAGTCTCATCCTTTTGTTCTGATGGAGCAGAGAGCAGTCTTTATGAAGTCATTATTTTTTGCATTTCCTTGAGCAAACCTGTTTTCCTGTTTTGTTTTGTTTTTTGGTTCATTTTGAGATTACCCCCATCTATCTAAAATAGATCGCAGTGTTTTGGTTTCATATTCGTTTGAAAGTTTAACTGCAAAATACTTTTTTAAACGCTAAGTCCCTGGGTCTTGCTGAACCAAGACTGGAGCTGTCTCCAAAAAAGGTCCTTTTGGTGGGGGATCCTCATGATACAAGTTTCCTCTCCATTGAAAGTCAATCATTGGCTAGGGTCAGTATCTGCTCCCAAGGAAATAAAAGTCCCTCTTCCAAAAGAAAGATCTTTTTGTCTGAAGTTTAATTTGCAGTTGCTACTAATTCAGCTTTTGCTCTGTGTTTCATCCCATAATAGTCCAATTCCTCTTTACTGATTTCTCCCCACCGTAGCAACCCCTACTTCATACAAATAGTCCTATTTTTATTCCTTCTGTCTACTGTTTTATTTTTCTCATCAAAAAACAAATGTAAAGTAAAATCTCATTTATTAAAATGGTGTTTTATATAAAGTATAATATTTCTTTGTAATCACATACAATATTTTACTTGACAGAAACTGAAAAAAACTGATATTGGTGTAGATATGTCTTCTGAATCTTCTAAAGACTATTCCTAAATTTGATCTAACTTTTCATTTTTGAGTAAGGAGTTAAGCATGGTTTTAATATCATTTGATGAGAAAGTGCGTTGCGTAAGGCTCAGTGGGGAAGTTAAAACAGAAGTACAAGTATACAGTTTGTACTTAACCATGCATGGGGGAGGGTAACTACTGAACCATGTTCTGCTAATATGCTAAATGGGATTGTTGAAATTTGTATATAGACTTAAAGACTATTTCCAAACAGAAGTTTCACGTAGAAAAAAAAAATCTTGGGGATAGCTGGACCATATGTACCTGTTTAAGGTGGAAAGAGGCCCAGTTGTAAATTCTACAACTTTTAATGGTAGACTTGAACTAAAATTTAGCTGTTTGTGTGGACTTCGATATGTGGTATTTATATGCACTAAATGCATGTTTGTATTTTTTCTGGCTTTGTTGTTTGTGTTTGTGTCAGTTGTTTGTTCCGTGTCGAAAGCTCTGAATGTATTTTCTTGCTAGTGTATTTTATTATTCAGGGCAATCTGGGAGTGAATGGATTATCTTGTCAAAACAAATATGTGTATGAGCTGCTTGTGTGCTTGGAAATATTTTGCTATTTTTTTAAAATTTCTGCTTGCTGCATAGCTTTTAATTTTATTTTGAAGCTCAATTTTTTTTGGCTGAAAATACACGTACCGGTACGCTCCCAGTTTTTGGCACAGTTTTTGTTCGCACTTTGACAAAGATATTTTGGGGGCTAATTAAACCACCACTAGTCTTTTTTTTTTCCAAAAAACATTATTCAGGAGATCGTGATTGCCTGATTGTGTCAACAAAAATTTAATGAAATCCTGTCAACATTTACAAGACTTAAGATAAACATTGAAATACAAATACCGTATATGCATGAGGCTTCTTCATTATGAAACACCTGTGATAAAAAGAATAAGGTCTCTATTCCTACTGAATCCCATCGTGTTTTCATGACCAGTTTTTCCTTCTCCAACCCCAAATCTGGAAGTTTCCAGCCTTGCTTTTTATTATTATGCAAATTTTATGTACATATTTCAGAGACTGCCTCCCAGCATTTTCTTTGGTATGAACCAAATTTGACCCGTCTTGACCCCTTCAACGACCCCGTCTTGACCCCTTCAACTTGACCTCTTGCCCTCATCTGGAAATGTCACCCAGACTTTACTCAACCTGTCATGCCTTTCTCGCTGAGGACACACTCGTCTGTATTTGCCTTTCTTTGTCATCTCATCTGAGCCTGTAAACTGGTTCCATCTGGTGTGGACCGGTGTGAACTGGTTTGAACCAGTGTGAACTGGTTTGAACTGGTTTGATGCAGAGCGTTAGCTTTTAGACACCAAAAATGTGTGGACAAGACACTAAGGTTATGCAGCTCATCACATAAAACATGAGACATGAAAACTGTACCAGTTTAAAAACATGCACAAACCAGTCAGAACCAGTTCAGACCAGCTTTTATTTCCATATTTCTTTGCATGTGTAACATTTTCTTAACCCTCTCTGGAACATCTACTCTTACCATTTCTTCTTCTCAAAGTTTTTTCGAAGGTAGTCTGTGGTCATTTAAAACACTGTTGAATTGTTTCATTGTTTTATCAAGATAAAGGTAAATAATGATGTGAATTAACATCTTTAAAGTGTCATTATTAAGATTGCTGATTAATATTTCAGAAAAACTTACACTACTGAGGCAAACATGTGATTTACATTTGAACAAAACTCAAGTACAGGATTGGGAGCTGTGAAATACCACAGTATATGTTGTCAATTAAGTTTTCAAGGGTTGGAACATATTGATTTACAAGTAAGGTCAGCCGTTTTTTTGCAGTAGGGAAAACCCACATCACATGCCTGTGCGAAACTTCAGCACATTTACACCAATCCTGTACGTTTGCAAGCCACGTGAATGTGTTTCGTGCACTGAAAAACATGTAACAAGCTGTATGCTGACTGACAGTGTGATGTGATCTGATAATGCTGACAAAAACAGGCTTAATACATTTTAGTCTTTGGAGCTCAAAATGCATGCATTGCTGGGATTCCTATATTAACTGGCTCAGTTCTTTAGTAAAACTAGCTATTTTCCTGTTGCAATTGCAGTTTCTCTGATCTGGAAAAATTTGGAGGAACTGTTGCTTGTTATTCCATTGACAATGTACGGTTGTTTCCAGATAATGTCATGGTGGCTCCAATGCTTTCCACAATTATGGTAGACTTGCATACGTGATCCAACTATTTTCTCATCATATTCACTTTGTCATTTTTTTTCTTTCCATCCATGATTTCACATTTTTCTTACCCTGTTCCCATGCCATTTGTCCCATCCCTCAAACCACTACCTGTTCATCTCCATAATTTACTTTCAATGATCCTGCCTTGAAATTTCTGAATAAACCTCTCCCCCTAAAAAAAACAACACCCATCCGCATTTGCCCCTTTTTCAAATGTGACCCCGCTGGTTGACCTTTTCCACAATGCAGCTGCAATGCTGTGGAAACGCTACGAAGGTACTGGCATATAGCATACATGTCAATCGACTGAATTTCTTCCCTTTTCTACTTTTGTGCATGTTGTGTGTTTACGTCAGTGCATGGGCGACAAAAACAGTGTCATAAAACTTACTGCACATGTGTAGAAATTAACAACTTTGGTAAAATAGGTGACATACATGATTTAAATAGCTTGATGTTAGTCTCAGAAAAGGTTTTTTGAACTGTTTTCATGGAAGCATCATCAGTATTTATTTTTCAAAATAATTTTAAAGAAACATCATGTACGTGTATGCAACTGAAAAAAAAAATCAGTTTTCAAAAACAATGTGGCAAAAATTGCAGTTAGCTTTTTTGATAGATGTACGTGCAATTTTTATTTGAGTTTATTGAACAATTTGGTAGCAGTTCCTTTTTGTGTAGTAGTAGAGAGATAGATAGTTTCACAGTTTGTACCAGATTTGAGTAATGTCATCAATGAAGATATCAAGAAATTTCTTGTGTAAACAAACATGGCAGAATGCTGCAATGTATTGAGAAGTTATTTGTCGTTATAGAGAAAGCTTGCTGTAGTTTAGAGCAAAATGAAATTGCATGTTGTGTGGTGTAAGATGCTTGCCAGAAACATGCAGTTTTGTCCAAAACTTTTTTTATGTCCTTTTTTTTGTTTCTTGATTTTTTACTTATTTTCCATAATATTGTTTGTTTCATGTTTTACCTTGGTTGCTCAATTTTTTAATTAAAGAGCATATTGTTACTTCCTTCTTTGCAGTTCAGCATTGCATAATATTGCGCTTTTACTAATTTGTTTTGGCTAATTTCACGTTTCTTCAAAATTTGTAAGAAAAACATGTCAAGTTGTTCTTATGACATTTTGTAGTGTAAAAGAGAATAATTTTACTACAGGAAAAAAATGTTGTCAAAGCACAAACCTGATTTTCGGCAGGTTATTCAACGGACTGCAGTTCATGAGGATTTTTGTCTGTCTTTTTTTTTTTTCTGTTTACAGCCCAATACATGGATGACACAAGTTCCCAGGATTCCTTGGTTGTCGGTGCCGGGGGACAGCAGCGTGATTTTGACAGAAGGAAGAAAAAGAAGTGAGTTGCTCATTTTTCAGTCCTGGGTGGGCGTGTGTGCCAAAGTGGTTTTTTTAGGATTGCTTCTCGTTAGGTCAGGGGTTCGAATCCAGTGGCTGGTTTTATATTAAGGGGGGGGGTTCACTTTACTCCTACTTGCCTCTCTCCACCCAGGAGCTTAAATGGGTACCTGTGAGGATGGACGTCAGACTTACATTGAATAACATTAGCAAACTTGGTGTTGTGGCTGGGTGAGCAGATGTGATAAGAACTGTATGGGCCTCAAGCTGGACCAAGAGAGGGCGCTATTTTCTTAGCAACTGAGGCTCCTTCGGTCAGAACAGAACTTCGCAGGTTCATGAATGACTAGGAAATGAACGTGCCACGTTCACATTGCTATCAACAAATTGAACTTTCCAACCAAAGTGGCTCTTCAACTGAAGAAGGGGTGCTTCTGCTTGAGGCAGATGAGCACCTTCAGTAGGATTATTGGGCAGCTTGTTCTCGTATGTTAACGAACAACTCGATTTGTTGTTCGTTGGTTGGCCGCTCAAACGCCGGGAACAGACAACCGGTTATTGCTGGTAGTTAGTGGCAAGCAGCATGCAGTACGGTTGCGTCTATGTATGTTATTCGAGAGTTAATGTTTGGATGGGCTGAATTCTTTTCTGTTGAAACAGGAACATTCATTTCTGTGTAATGGAATATAATTAATGTTAATTTTGCAAAACTTCCCACATCTCTGGCTTTGGAAGCCATCTCCCTACTTTTTGCAGCTGTTCAAAAATTAAAATCTCACGAGTTTTCTCGTGTGTTCCTGTAAAACCTTGATGAGGAGGTGGTGTGTGATCCTGTTCCAAGAACGGTGTTCTTGAGTCGTGTTCCCGCCGTTAAACGCGAGAACAAGAAACCAGTGTCAAGAACAGGCCGCCCGAACTCGACCATTGATATTAGCTATTAGCTAGTGAATGTAGCCATCTCACATCAGTTGGCTAGTTCAGAGGTTGGCTAAGGGCACACTTAGAGCATGTGTGTCTATGGAAGAGTGTGTCACTTGTTGCTGCTGCCAAGACTTTCGGACATAGGCCATGTCCGAAAGGGGCTTCCAGAGCTACGGCTAGGTCTATTGTCTACACATCTCCACGCATTTCCAATGGAGCGAAGACCTAGACCTAGCTCTAGACAAGAGATTTGGATGCACCGATAGACAAACGATGGCTTGCAGCAAGTATTAAACATGGACACCTGGGCCTATTTGTTTTCCATTGATAATCTGATTTCAGAGACCCCATCGGCTAGAGTATCCCTACACAGTTAATTATCACATGAGTGCAAGTCGAACAATAGTAATGCAGTCCGTCTGTGTCCTGTATACAGCCGAGTGGTATACAAGACACAGACGCACAACATTATCCTGTGTTTCACGAGAGGGAGCATGATAAGCAATTTATCTTCAAGCAAACTTGATGCGTAGTAAAGATGTTATAGGGACCTTTGCCCGCGAAGGTGCCCCGTTGAATTTAAGTCAACTGTGCAGCTGTGTGTTTTGCATTTCACGTGAAAACAGCACAATGCGCAAAGTTAGAATAGCACATCATGCAGGGTTTGATATGAACCGTACAGTTATATGTCACACTGTTTGTTGCCATGGATCGACCAGTCAGAATTGAGAATTCAAGTTTACTTGAAGATAAAATGAGCAATCTTATCACACCGTCTGAAGCTTTATTCGTGCTTGGAGCAGAAGTGATCACAAATGTAACGTGATATGAAATCAAATACTCATCTTGCGAATTCACAAAAGTTGAACACCTTTCAACGTCAATGAATTTCCGGCTGCTAATTCTCTTTGGCATTGACCTGAAGTATAACTTGGCCTTAACGTTTTTCTTTTCCACCAGGCACGAGCTCCTAGCAGAAGCCATTAAGGCTGGTACGCCTTTTGCCCTGTGGAATGGCCCCACAGTAGTGGCTTGGCTGGAGTTGTGGGTGGGCATGCCGGCCTGGTACGTGGCGGCCTGCCGTGCCAATGTCAAGAGTGGCGCCATCATGTCGGCACTGTCGGACACAGAGATCCAGCGGGAGATTGGCATAAGCAACCCTCTGCATCGGCTCAAGCTGCGGCTGGCTATTCAGGAGATGGTCAGCTTGACCAGCCCCTCTGCCCCGCCCACCTCCAGAACAGTGAGTAACATCTTCATGCGCAGTGGGGATTGGCTCCCATTGGCACTGTGCGAGTTGCTGAGGGCGCTGTGTTGCTTTTTCCACGTCTGAATTACTCAAGGCAATTCAAGTGACCACTGTTTGTCAACCACTAGTCAATTTTGCCTGATACCTAATATGTATTCTGTGTACAGGTAACCAGGTAAAAAACTGACCAGTGGTCAACAAGTTGTCATCATTGGAACTTGCCCTTGGTTGTGCCCTGCTGTAGCACACGTCCATGCCGCCGTTAGTTTCTTCTGTTGGCCCAGTCATTATTCCTAGCTGTAGCCAAGTATTTTGGATGCTACTTTACCCACCACAGCAGAGCAGTGTCTAAATCAACGGGCTGCAGCCAAAAGTACAATACATCTATGAGAAGTGGCTGCAGCTGCTAGCTAGTGGCTTGCATAAGGGCATGTGTGATTTCCAGCCGTACCTGTAACTTGTTGGCACGGCCTTTAGCACCACATTGAAAAGATGCAATTTCACACGGCCCCTTCCATCCTTCTTTGCTCTGCCTCTAGACTCTAGCCTTCGGTGAGATGAACCACGAGTGGATCGGCAACGAGTGGCTACCTTGCATCGGCCTGCCACAATACCGCTCCACCTTCATGGAGTGCTTGGTGGACGCTCGCATGCTGGACCACCTCAACAAGAAGGACATGAGGGGACAACTCAAGATGGTGGACAATTTCCACAGGTGCGCGAGTGTCTCCCCCACCCCCAACCCACTCCTCTCCCACCCCCAACCCACTCCTCTCCCACCCCCAACCCACTCCTCTCCCACCCCCAAC